TGAGAACAGATGTGCCCACATCTGTGAGAACAGATGTGCCCACATCTCTGATTTCTGCAGAGAATGGTGTGATTCGTTTATGTCCCAGGCACGACAGTCGGGGGGGACTGAAGGGAGAGTGGGAAGGGCCCTCCTTTCCTGCTCTTACCCCCCTCTGCTGGAAGAGAAACTGAGCGTGAAGGGCTAAGTCCAACAGTCTGGAAGGCCAGGATGTGCCTGCTCTTTGCACTGGGGCTGGGGGTCCCTGTTGCCCCTTCGTCAGGACTTCTCTTCCCAGATTTAGGGTTTGCTCCCAAACAGTTCAGCCCTTGCACCCCTTACTCTCTCCCCTCTCCTAGATCTGCTTGTCCCTTACACCTGGGCTCCTGAGCTCCTGCAGCATGGCTCACAGCCACCCTTCCCGGAGCTCCCGCTGAGTGCCAAACACAGAATTTACATGATCTCATTTAATCCACACAACGGATGAACTAGGTTTGCTTTTCGTTTCCCTTTTACAAAGGGGAAACCAAGGCTCTCTGAGGCTAGGTAATTCAGCCCAGAGGAACCTCACAGAGCTGCTGTGAGGATTAGATAAGATAATGCCCCCCCACCCCAGGAAGGCCTTCTCCAATGGGCTCCATTGTTACTATTATTATTATCACCATCCAGTGATGGAGCTGGGAGTGGCCCCAGGTCTGTCTCCCTCCGAAGCTGGGACTCACCACTGACTCTGAGTGGGTCTGTTCTTGAGAAGCCTGGGGTGATGGGGCAGGAGACGGCTGAATTGCTGGATATGGGGGATCGCTTGGGTGGCCCCTGACCCCCTTGACAATGTGGGTGGCAGGGATTTCCTCAGATTCACCTTTCAACGCCCACCCCTTCGAGGCTTTATTTACTTATTTATTTGACCTTTAGCTAATTTTACATGCTGAAGATTTTAAAGACTCCTCCCCGAAATAGCTGGTTTTCCATCTCTAAAAATAAGAACATTCTACTACCTAGCCCAAATGACAACATTTTAGCACCCACAAGTCCTTCATATTATCAAACACCCAATCCAAACTGAAATCTCCCCAGTTGTCCTGAAATCGCCTTTGCCAGCTTCTTTGTCCAGTCAAACCGTGCTGCGTTTGGGTCCTCTGTCCTTTAAGACTCCTTTCATCCAGACCAGCTCTTCTTCCTTGCTACTTACTTACTGGGACTGAGCCAGTGCAGTGGTCCTGTAGAATGTTCCTTTTTGGGTCTTTCTGATTACATCCTCGTGGCTAGTTTACATGACCAGATTATGTCAGATGTGATGTTCTTCACATCAGGGGACACATCTGGCTGTCCCACCATAAATGATTCTTACGTGGACCACCAGCATAGATGAAGGGGTGACAGTCGGATCCCATCACTGTTGGAGTCAGGGAGTGTCCAGCTCCCCCATTAACCCCACTGGCCACCTGATTTTTGACAGTTGATGGATAATCCTTGCCTGGATCAATAATTTATTTGGAAAAAATGTTGATTTTTAATTTCTATTATTCCTTTACCATATATTAGGTGTCACTTTTCTGTAGCGTGTCATCTAGGAGTTCCCTGAAGTACAGTGCCTTATGGAAAGGCAGAATAAAGGCTTAATTCTTTCTCTTTAATTACCTATTTTAAAGTAAGGAGTTGATTTAACAGCTACCTCAATAGTGACAAATTTCCAACTTTGAGTATCATTATGGACTAATGGATTTTAAAATTCAGTATTTCAATCAACTGAAATTAATTCTTTGTGATGCTTACACTGTCACAATTTTGGTCAATGGAGACCCTTTCAAGCTGGGTCCTATGTTCTCATAACATGACCTCATTAATCTTTAAAAGTTTCCTTGCTTTCTGGTACAAGATGTCCCACATTCACCTCTACCTTCCCTGCTCCAGACCTGGATTAGCCACTTCTCCAAGGAGCCCGGGCTCCTTTTAGCAAAGAATGATATTTGGAAATGAAAATCTGAGCACCATTTGAAGTATGTGGCACATCCTTTATAATATTGGGTGTTCAAGCCACACCAACAGGCCACTGATTTGTGGCCAAGAAGAGACAGCCTAGAAGCCAGTCTCTCCACCAGGCAGCCCCTCCAGTCTCCCTTGGCACCTGGGATTGTCCTGGGAGGAGGATGTGGGAGGGAACTGGAGGTCAGCTGTTAGGGACACACTGGGAACCCCAGGGTCCCTTCCCTTCTAGTGGTGCAGATTTGGATGTAGGGCCTTCTCTGCCCCAGTTCTTACATTCTTAGGGAGGCAGCTCCCCCAGACGAAGCTCCCGCTTACTTCTGGAAGCAGGTTCCTCAGGAGGGCCCAGTCTGTGCTGAAGCCTGGGCTGGCCCCTGACTCCCTCCCTCTTGGCAGCAGAGAACCCCGCCCAGTGCCCGGCCATGGCCCCTCAGGCTCTCGGGTCCCACGGTGCTCTTCTTCCTCCTGTGGCCCTTCATCGTCCAGTGGCTCTTCCGACAGTTTCGGACCCAGAAGAGGTGACGCTCAGTGGAGGGGTCTCTGCAGCCAACTAAGGTGGCTATGAGCCCCCTGGTCCTGCTGTGCCCTGAGCCTTCCTAGGGTTTAGGAGAAGAACAGCATTAACTGCGTCCCCCCACGACTCAATGTTTGCCTTTGCACCGCTCCCTTATTGGGGGGGCGTTTAAGAGCCCATCCTTCCCCGCGACTTCACTCGGACGCCTTCTCCCCCTCCCACCCAAACATCGAGGCTGCCTGGTGAGGGTGTAGGAGTGGTGCACGTCCCGGGTTCTGGGTTGGCCGTGACTCGGGGGCGGGGCTGCCGGGTCTCAGCCTCTGCCCTCCCCTCCCTCTGGGTCACCTGACTCTTCTCCCACCCCAGCCTCTCCGGGTGGAGGGCCAGCTCTTGGGCAAGTTGGGACTTGGGCTGGGGCCTGGAAGAATGATTGGCTGAGAGGCTGAGGGAGGGAGGCCCGGAGGCCCGGCCGAGTTGGGGGGAGGGGAGTGAGCTGCGTTTTGCTGGCCTCCCTCCCCCTGCACGCACACACTCAGGACGTCTTCACGGAAGATTCGCTTACGAATGAATGTTTCACTAAATAAAATAAGACCTTAATCTTCTGCCGTCTGGGTCCCCACGGAGTGAGGCGGGAAGCCGGGTCCGGGCGCGCAAGGCACAAGCCTCTTCCCTGCCCCTCCCCCAGCGCCCCCGAGGACCGTCCCGAGAGGCCGGCGGTTTTCCCTCCTTCCAGAGCAGGAGCGGCGGGCACAGGGGCCCGGGGCCCGGGGCCGGGGGGGGGGGGCGGCCGAGGGAGGGGCGCGGGGGGCCCTCCGCTGTCGCCGGGGGGTGGGGCCGCGCCTTGGCCCCACCCCCCGCCCCGTCGGAGGGGAGGCCCTGCGAGCCGGCGCGGGGGGGCGCGGGGAGGAGAGGAAGCTCGCGGGGCACGGGCGGAGGCCGGGTCACCCCCCGGAGAGAAAGGCGGCCGCTCGTTGTGCCGAGCGCAGGCCGCAGGGATGGGGCCCCGGGGGCCCCCGCGGCCCCGGAAGTGCCCACCGCCCGCTTCCCCCTCCACAGCTGGCGTGACCTCCGCGTTCGGGCTTTCCCAGGGAACTTTCTGGAAGGCCAAGACCCAGCGGGAGCCTAGTCCCCGCCCCGCCCTGAGGAGTGGGGGCGGGGCCGGACGCAGGGAGCCCCCGTCGGGGTGGGCAGAGCGCCCGCGTGGGCACAGAGCTGCGGGCGCCGCCGGCTGCTCGGACTCCGAACTTCTTTTTCCCACCGCCTGGCGGCCTTGGTCTCCCTCTGGTCAGCGACAGCCCTGTCGCGCCTCCTACCCCTTCGCCCCGGGCCCCTCTGGCTCCAGCAGTGGCCCGTATTCGGTGGGGAACTCGCCACTCCGAGCGCCTCCCTAGTTTTAGCGCGAGAGGCCACTGGCCAGGAGCCCCAACGGCCGAGGGCCACAGCAGCCTTGAGCCCCTGCAGCTGCCACCGCCTGGGCTCCAGGACCTTCCTGCCCTCGGTGAGGAAAAGGCAGTTCTGAAGGCCCCTTCTTGGAGACCCTTAAACTCCTCTTGAGTTCCCTCTACCCGCCCCGAGCCTTGACCCGAGGCTGGCTATCATTCGAACCACTGGAAGCCTCAAGTCACTCGTCAGTCCTTCTCTCGAGGTGGGGAGGGCAGACACACAGGCCCTGGTGCTCTCTGATCCAGCCCAGGGGCGCAGGCAGAGAGACTGAATAAACCCTTGTGTTAAAGCTGGACCCCAGCAGGAGTGGGACCAAAGCGATGCTGGGGATGCAGGGATGGGCACACAACTAGCTGTGGGACTTGGGCAAGCTTCGTAACTGCTCTGAACCTGGGCTGCCTTGTTTGTAAAATAAGGATGAAGAGCTCATCATAAGGCAGTCGTGGGTTCTTTGGTTTTGTTTTGTTTTTTAAGATTTTATTTATTTGTGAGAGCACAAGCAGGGGGAGCAGCAGGTAGAGGTAAAGGGAGAAGCAGGCTCCTCACTGAGCCAGAAGCCCGATGTGGGGCTCGATCCCAGGATCCCGGGATCGTGACTGAGGGATCTGGCTCGAAGGCGGACGCTTAACCAACTGAGCCACCCAGGCATTCCCAGTCCTGGGTTTTAAATGCCCAGGACATGTAAAATGCCTGGCAATGGGTTAAAACTCAGCTAATATCAAGGTGCCCGGCCTCTTGTTTGACAGAATTCTAGAATTCCACAACCTATCACTCTGCCCTCCGCTCCCCACACATGACAAATGAGTCCTGTCCAACAAACTAAGGGTGGCTGGGCTCAGCTGTTACCTTTCAATCCCCCTGAATGAGGGTACCCAGGAGTCCTCTGGAGTCTGAAAATGTGGTAACAATAAAGAGATCTCTGACTCCCATTCAAGTTCTCTGCAAAATCTCTTTTCCTCAGGGAACTGTCGATGTGAGGGGGAGCTCTTGCTCACAGAGGAGTCTCCTGCATGACTGATGAAGGAGCACAAAGAAGGGCAGGCTTTTCTCAGAAGCCCAGGGACTGGAGTGGTCAATTTCAAAACAGGTGGATGTGCCCCAGAGGCACTCTTGCTTCTCCCTTGGGGCGTGCCCATCACCACCTCCCCATGGAACCATTCCTGAGTTCCCAGACAAGTCCTTTCTTTGGACATGACGCTTGCTCTTTAAAGAACGTCCTTCTTCATGCTACTGGGCCTCAAAACCCTTCATCCTCCCGAGAGCGCCAAGGAGACATGTCCCCCACGAATCCTGTCCCTAATTCCTAACTCCTGAGCAGCTTGGCTCACAGGCCCCTAGCCAGGATTTTCTTCATTTGTCGTTTTGACTCACAGTGGTTTAACGGCCTCTCCACACTGTCCATGTGCAGCACGGATGACATTTTATTCATCATTGTTCCTTCCTAACAAATGTTCGCTAAATGAAGAAACGAGGGCTTTAATTAGGCTGAGGCTGTTGGAAATAGAAAGGAACTAAATCCAAAGTTCTTGAGCAAAAAGAGAATTTTGTGAAAGAAAAATGACACGAGAGTCAAAAAGACCTTCGTTCTAGCAGGAATTGCCACTTAGTTGTCATGTGACCTTGGACAAGTCACTTCATTTCTCGGAGTCTCAGAGATTTCTTATCTCTAAAATGGAGACAATCATTCCCACCCTGTCTAACTCACCGGGCTGTGGTGGGGTCAAATGATTGTGTGTAAAAAAATGTTGTATGTTAGAAAGAGGCCGGGATGTAAAATGTTGCTATTAAGAAAGAAATAGTAAGAATGGGTCACGGATGTGTGGCCAGAGGGGGAGGCTGTTATTACACTGAGATTTTTAGGCCGAAATGATTACAGCGGAGAGTTTAGGCTACTCCACGGCCCTGTCCTCTGGGCTGGAGCTTGGAATCTGGAGAATTTTCTCAAGGAGACTGTGTCACCTTCCCTCCCCCATGAGTCTACCCCCAAGGTCCTGGGCCAGCATCCCCCTGCCCCCATTTCTGGGCAAGACGTCCTCTTTCTTTGGCTCCGTTCCCTCCCAGTGCTGCCCAGCGCCCACTAATGAGCAGAGCCTCTATGGATGGAGAGATTGGTTGATTATTTAAACTCAGGATTAATTCTGAACCTTCTCTCCCACCTCCCCACATAGAGGTCCCTCAGCTGGCCCGGACTGCCTTGTCTGAGCTCAGGAAAGGCTCCCGGTCGGCCCCAGGAGGCCATTTTCTTCGACAGAAGCTGAGGCCCGGGGACGAGGCCTTCCCACCCCGGGTCTCCCGGGAGCCCCAGGTGCACACCCCGCGCTTCCCGGATCCCCGCCCGGGCGAGAGGCTCGGTCACGGCCCACCGGCCCACCGTTTTTGCACTGGTCCTGGGGCAGCCGCGGCCCTGAAAGACTAGGCCTGGACTGGGGCTCGGCCACTTTCGTCCAGCGGTCCCAAAGCCAATCCGAGGGTGGAAGTCACCCGGGACTCGAACCTGCCTTCTCATCCTCCAAGGCCTAGTCCGGGGTTGCTGCACTAATGCAGTCACACTGTCCCTTTAAGGCGGCACTTCTTATTTTTCATTTGTTTACTTCTTCATACGCTTTTCGTTTTTTCAAAATATGTTCACAATATCCTTCCGCAAATATCAGTCCCAGGCATTAACCACACACACCTTGCAGCCATTCCTGTAATCTTAAGAATCGAGAGTTATTAGCCATAGGCCAACATCTCTCTTTATAGGATTTAATCCTCTTTTACACTGTAGGGACTACTTTTTAGGAATAAACCATTTTTGCTTTAGCTAACAAATGCTTATGACCTTCGGAACCCTTCCGCTGAGGACAGAAGACGATAATACCCTTTACAACGCACCTTTTAATAAAAATATTCTGTGTAGGCCCTCAGAGGCCATCGAATCTTCTCGTATTCCTGAAGCAGAATGGTATGGTCCAAAACCCGCCCCATCTTCTCTGCGATTGGCTTTCCTTCTTCGGCGAGACGTGTGACTCCTGGCCAATGGTCACTCACGTTTCTCCAGCGAGGGCTATGCAATGGAAGGAGGCGGCCTGGAAGTCGCCCCCTACGCGTTCTGGGATTGGCTACGTCGCACGGCGCGCGAGGACGGCGGGCCTGAGGGATGGAAACTACGACTCCCAGCTTCCTGAGACGGGGACTCCGTTACGCATGCGCATGGGCGGGGCGGACAGACTTCTATATAAAAGGGGCGCAGAGGGCTGGGAGGCAGCAGTTGGAAGTTGGCAGGTGGAGAGGCAGGTTGGGAGGGGAAGTTGGGGGAGGAGGCGGAAGAGTTGCTGTCGGAAGGGGGAGGAGGGAGGGAGGAAAAGAGGAGGAGGCGGTGGAGATCTGAGCTGAGCCGAGCATCGAGCCAAAGGGGAGATGAGTTTGTCTGTCCTCGGCTGAGGCTCCGGCCGGGCCTAGGGAACTGGGAGCTCGGGTTGGAGCGACACCCGTGGAAGTGGGAGGAGGTGGCTCTGGGACTTTAACCCCTTGTGGGCTCTGCGGCAGGGGATTTAACCCTTTGTGGATTCGGCCCCTCGGAGGCAGCGTCATCGGGTAGTTTTAACCCCTTCGGGGCTGGGTTTAACCCGTTGGACTTTAACCTCATCTCCTTTTCCCACCAACTCCTCGATCGTGGGGGCGCTCTGCGGGGAGGCTTGAGGTCCACCTCCTTTGCACATTACGTACTGTTACTGCTGCTGCACCCCCTTGGACCCGCTATCTGGCCGCGCTGTGGGCACTTAACCCTTTACTGACTTGAGCTCTCCCAAGTTGCATTTGGAGTTTGTTTACAGAAGGACCTGCTAAAGGCGTCACTGCAGGAATTACAGACCGAAGAGGACTCTGCTGGACATTTTTTAAAAGCAAAGAAAAACCTCTTTTTTCATTAAGGACTTACAGCCAAAATTTTTCAAACTTCGAGAAGAGGACTCTATTAGCCATGGCCGAGCCACTCTTGTCAGAATACCAGCACCAGCCTCAAACTAGCAACTGTACAGGTGCTGTTGCTGTTCATGATGAGCGGAACCCCGATCGCCCCCCAGGCGCGGAGGAGCGGGTGCCCGAGGAGGACAGTAGGTGGCAATCGAGAGCGTCCCCCCAGTCGGGTGGCCGTCCGGGGCAGGAGGGGGAAGGGAGCTTGGAGCCGCAGCCGCCTCCCCTTCAGAACCCCGTCTGTCCAGAACCTAGCTGCCCGCAAGCAGGCAAGAAGGGCCAGAATGGGGACGACTTGTCCGCTGGCGGAGCCCCCCCGCCGGGGGCTGGGGGGGAACCGAGGCCCGAGGCCGAGCCTCTCGCACAGCCATGTCATGATTCCGAGGCCAACAAGTTGGGGGCTCCTGCTGCAGGGGGCGAGGAGGCGTGGGGACAGCAGCAGAGACAGCTGGGCAAGAAAAAACATAGGAGACGCCCCTCCAAGAAGAAGCGGCATTGGAAACCGTACTACAAGCTGACTTGGGAGGAGAAGAAAAAGTTCGACGAAAAACAGAGCCTGCGAGCTTCAAGGATTCGAGCTGAGATGTTCGCCAAGGGCCAGCCTGTCGCACCCTATAACACCACGCAGTTCCTCATGGATGACCACGACCAGGAGGAGCCGGATCTCAAAACCGGTCTCTACCCCAAGCGGGCCGCTGCCAAATCCGACGACACCAGCGATGAGGACTTCATGGAAGAAGCGGGCGAGGAGGATGGGGGCAGCGACGGGATGGGAGGAGACGGCAGCGAGTTTCTGCAGCGGGACTTCTCGGAGACCTACGAGCGGTACCACGCGGAGAGTCTGCAGAACATGAGCAAGCAGGAGCTCATCAAGGAGTACTTGGAGCTGGAGAAGTGCCTCTCGCGCATGGAGGACGAGAATAACCGGCTGCGGCTGGAAAGCAAGCGGCTGGGCGGCGACGACGCGCGTGTGCGGGAGCTGGAGCTAGAGCTGGACCGGCTGCGCGCCGAGAACCTCCAGCTGCTGACGGAGAACGAACTGCACCGGCAGCAGGAGCGAGCGCCGCTGTCCAAGTTTGGAGACTAGACTGAAACTTTTTGGGGGGAGGGGGCAAAGGGGACTTTTTACAGTGATGGAATGTAACATTATACACATGTGTATATAAGACAGTGGACCTTTTTATGACAATAATCAGAAGAGAAAATCCCCCCGGCTTTGGTTGGTTTGGTAAATTTAGCTATGATGTAGCTTGTGTGCTTTTCTCCTGTTCTTTAATTATGTGAAACTGAAGGGTTGCTTTTCTTGTTTTCTTTTTAGAAGTTTTTTTTTTTTTTTAACGTGTAAGTAACTTGACCAAGTTATAATGCATTTTTCTGTTAAAAAATCCCCTCCTTAAACGGAGCTATAAGGTGGCCAAATCTGAGAACCATTAAATTCATTCTAGGTATAATAAATTTAATATTTGTAAATGTAACATAGTTTCAGTGTGATTTCTAGAGCTAATTCAAAATAGTGCTGATTTATTTTAAGTGATTGCATTGGGGGGGTAAAGAAATCATTGTCAGTTTGCAAAAAACAATCTTTAATGGGACAATTTTCAATTTGCTGGTTTTTCCCCTGAATGGGTTTTAGTGTGCTAAATATACAGTTCAGGCAAAATATAAAGTTTAATTATCTTCAATACCTAAGTGTGCTCGCTTTCTAGTGCCTTGGTTTTCTTTTTTGATGCTGGAGAAAGAAACCAGTGTTGGGTGTTTGGGGAGCAGAAAGTGGCTACAATCGGAAGCTTAAAATTTAATTCTGCTTCTCAACAGCCATTTGAAAGTCTATTAACAAAACTGTAAACCTAATTTGGCAGTTTGTTAGGTTAGACAATTGACAGTCTCATTTCATTCCTACAAATAGGTTTTTAGTGATTCCTCCACTTCCCCAATAAGGCTGGAAGAAGTTCCTGGATGTCTGAAAAAGGCTCTTGGTAAACCCCCTGCTTTTTTAGTGCAAGCAATGGTTGGATAAACTTTGTGGCTGTTCTTTATTAAGATATTTAGAGGTAGGGAATATTGGATTTATAGAGGAAATGGTTGCTTGGGGCATTCCAAGGACTTACCCTAATTATCTAATACTTAGGTGCTCCCTATACTAAAAAAAAAAAAAAAAAGGAGCTCTCCACCTTTTCATGAGGGTCAAACCAAAATTAGAAATCCCCCCCGTCCCTTACTGCAAATCAAATATAAAGCTTCTGGAAGAGGAGCTAAATTAAGTCCTTATGGGCCGAGTGGGAACCCTGTACAGTCATTCCCTGTACAGCCGCTAGTCTCACTCTCCTAAGAGGGGCTTAGGCCCTAATTCCAGAGAATAGTTCTGTTCTTGAAAATGCAGGGAGACCCTGGGAACTAATTTCCACCCCCAAATCAAATAGTAAGAAATGATGATTGTTGGCAGACAATCTCTTCTTTGCTGTCCTGCCTGCCATTCCCTTGCGGTGTATTTAAAAAACTTCTATCTCCTTAAAAAAAAAAAATTATTCCTTCCGCATCATGGTTAATCCAGCCCATCTCCACCTGCCCTGTGTCAGTGTTTCCCTAGGGCAAATGCACTGCTCAAATCATTAATACAGGGGTTCCTTAACTTGGGGCCTTAGAATCCAGAGGGGGCCCTGGGATTCATGAACCCCATGAAGTAGACTTGTGTTATATGTACATTTTTCTGGGAAGACAGTTCAAGAGAACCATGAGACTGTCGAACTCCTTGAAGGTTAAAAACCTCTGCAGGAAAAGGCGGGGGGGGGGGAGACACACAAAATTCCCATTGGAAAGTTTGCTTTTGTATCTAAATGGAACAGCAGAGGTGGCAGGAACTCCCAAGAGTGAAATGCACCTTATGATGCATAAGCATTCACAAATCAATGAACCAAGGGGAATTATGCTGGTCAAGAACTGACTCAGGGCCTTCAGAGCTGTACTAAACTGGTCCTACTCTGGCAGATGGTCCACTGAAGACAATGTATGATCCGTTTTTCTTTCGGCCTAAAAATTACATTAAGGGGCGCCTGGGTGGCTCAGTCATTAAGTGTCTGCCTTCGGCTCAGGTCATGATCCTGGGGTCCTGGGATCAAGCCTCGCATCGCACCGGGCCTCCCTGCTCAGTGGGAGGCCTGCTTCTCCCTCTCCCACTCCCCCTGCTTGTGTTCCCTCTCTCACTGTCTCTGTCAAATAAAAAATTAAAAAAAATAAAAATTACATTAAATGTCTATTTTGAAATAGTTTTCTTCGTGTTTTTAATTCTCCTTCTGCTATGACGTCATGCAGTAGTCCCAGAAACAGGGCTGCTTGGTGGAATGGCAGCAACACTGCCCTCTGGCTTTATATGCAGAGAAACCTCATTTTGACTGCACTACAGGATGCAGCAGTGATAACCTCTGATTGTAGAACTTAAGTAAGATGGATTTATGTTAATGATCTTGTTTCCCCCACTATCAGTCTTAGGAACACTCTAGAAGTACATTTATCATCAGAAAAAAAGTATGTTTTACTCTTAGAAGACAAATTCAGTTTAGTCTTTAAAAATACACAAATAGTTAATTTACTCACAAATGACTTTGATTTACCTTGAGATATGCAACTATCTGAACTTTGTTTCCAAAGGCACTTTATAGTATGTACTGCATTTATGTTCTTAGAATGATGAGGTTTGTGTGAAATTTCAGTTTTCTATCAATACTTTCTACATTAAAACACTTGAGTAGTACACCGCTCTCAGGACAGAGAAAAAGACTGAATTACTTACATTAATGGGGGGTGGGCTGTGATAACAAATGATCTTCAAATCACTTGAGGATCTCTAGCCTTTCACTAAAGTCCTCTCTGCCAGACATTTTAACCGAGCTGCTCAAAAGACCATGTTTACACATGGGCAATTTGTTTGTTCCCTTTCTCATCATAGGGCGCCTGGGTATCCAGCCAGGGCAAAGTGCTTCCTAAACTTTGAGACAGATGGCTGGAAAGCTTAATCCTCCTCTGAGCAAGGAAAACTTTTGGGGGGCTAGCCTAGAATATAAAGTGGCCCCTGGGAGATAGGGACCTTTAGATCTCAGTTTGGGGGAAGGCCAGGGAGGTCCAAATTGGTTTAATTCAGGAAAAATAGACCAGTGGGGGCTCCTGGGTGGCTCAGTCAAGTGTCTGCCTCAGGTCATGATCTCAGGGTCCCGGGATGCTCCATGGGGAGCCTGCTTCTCCCTCTCCCTCCCACTCCCCCTGCTTGTGTGCTCTGTCAAATAAAATAAATGGACTGGGTAACTCTAAAGAGAGAAAACATAAAAATTAGCCTAGTTTAGGAGTCAAAAAACTAGGGTCCTAGTCCTATCTTTAACATATACTACTAGCAGTGTAACTCTGGAAACAACTGAGCCTCATTCTTCATCACCAAAATGGGGCTGTGCCAACTTTACAAAACGGCTATCAGCATTAAACAAGATAGCATGAAAATGTGTTATACAAAAGTAAGCTACCACTGATATAACTATTATTGTTTTTTCTTTTTTTTTTTTTTCAGTAATCTCCATGCTCAATGTGGGGCTCAAACCCACAACCCCGAGATCCAGAGTCACCAGCTCCACCAACTCAGCCAGCCCCTTTACTGTTTCTTTTTAAGACCAAAAAGCAGTTGCCCATTTGATTGGTATTTTAATTTTCCCTTCATCCAGAGTAAAATTAAAATCCTTTGCTTGGGAAAATGTAAATAAATATATTTTACCCTAATGACTTCAAAAGTTACAGAAAAAAAAAATTCAAGAGGGAATCCATAGGGGGGAAAAATCCCAAAAAACAAAACCACAACTGAACAGTTTACCTTCAGAAAATCAAGAGCTGGCTACATTTAGTTAAACTATCAGGTAATGAATGCACCACGGGATTCTCCCTGGCCACTTACACCCAGAACAGCTAGCAACAAATATTCACATCACTGTGATGGCAAAATTGGTTAGAGCTGAGATAGTACTTGTACCTAAGTACACTTGAGTTTGTGAGGTTTGTTTTTTGAAATTATTTTTCAAATTTGACAAGAACATTGGGATAAAATTCCACTTTACTATTATTTCTCACATAAGGTGTGGAGAGTTGATGCTAAAAATGAAAAGTAATTTTTTAAAGTAAAGAAAATGTCAAATTCAGGCCCTGAACACAGTGGGATCTGCTGACCAAAGGTAACAGTCATACTTTCCAAGTGGGACAGAATATACAGTCTAGGAGGCAAAGATTTCAATCTTGACCCAGTTGTCTTTGAATACTGGAAAGCTTACCACCTCATTCTCCTTCTTGTAAAAAAAGAAAGGCTGAGTTTAGACAGATCAATACTTGAGCTCTCACAAATCCTCCTGAATAAACTTTTTCTTGGGTTTTACTTAGAGGTGGTTCAACTATGACAAATGATGTTATCAACAAGGTCAAGGGCAGGAACAATCCTAGTAGTTTACTAATAAACCTCTGCACACCAACAAAATTCTTTCAAATGGTTGAGCTGCTATAGGAAACTGTTGGTAAGTTTCTTGAAATTGCTAGCGTGATCTCTCAACAAAGCACCAAGAGCACTTACATTTGGCTTAAAAGTTTTTTCAAGAGCAAAAATTCAGAAGGAAATCATACTCTCATTCTTCATATTCCATTTCACACATCCACTGACTGTGCGAAGTGTTAAAAAGCCCTGGGTTTGCAGTGAGCAAAAAGGTTATTCCTGAAGGAAAATGTGGGAACTCGAGTGCCCCATGCACAAGTATAGTTGAGAAAATGATAGCATCACTGCTCTTGTGAGATACTCAGTAGAACTTGCGCTAGCCTCCAGAGGGTCAGGAGATTAATTTGAAGTGTGAAGCCTGTTTTAAACACAGCATTCTGCAGACCTGGGTAACTCCAGCACAACTGTTAGGCAAAGGCAGGAAACCGAACTGGAGGATGGAAAGGAATGTCTAAGAGGTTAGTTCTACCTTCCTCTCTAGTTACTCCTAAGAGTGTACTTAAAACGGCAAACGTGAGCAATTTAAAAGGAGAAAATTAAAGAAAAAGATGGTGAGAGATAAACACAATTTAAAAAAATGGTTATTATGGAAATCAAATCAGAAGCAAGGATCTTCATCCTGAAGAGGACTGCTGCAAAGAATCAATCCTACCCGTCAATGAATCCTGCTCTCACAGAGCCACCAGGCCCCGGGAGTTGGCCCTCAGGGTCAAATATCCAGGACTTCCTAGCAACAACTGCTTGGTACCCTAAGAAACTGACCCTTGTTCAGCCTAGTTGGATGGCCACCCTTTGTGCTGCCAAGGGCAACCAAGGCCACATTTCAGTAAGGCAGGCCTCTCAAATGCCCCAAATAACCTCTGAAGCAGAAGTTCTAGATTCCCAAATAACAAAATTTTGGTATTTTGGTAAATAAATGTTTACTAAAGAGTAGTCAATCCTCAAGGTATGTGGGAGGTAGCA